GAAGATTCGGGCAGAGCTCTGGCCTGGGTGCAGAGCTCTGAGCAGAGACATTTCGAGAGGAGCTGCTGCTGGGGTGCAGGGGCTCGGGAGAAGGCTGCTGAAGTCTCTGGAGAGACTGTTGGAGGCATTGGGCAGAGTACTGGCTTGGTGCAGTACTCGTGCTGTGTAGGTCTTGGGACCTGTGGCTTAGTTCCTGTAGTGAACTGTCCTCTGTGCTATATTGTAAGTTATATTCATTTTGGTCAAGTTGATTGTTCCCTGTCTCACTGCTTATGTGTACCACCCCATTTATCTAAACCACAATAGTGTTCTGTTCCCAAATATATTATTGTACAAAGACTTAATAATAAACTGTGTTTGAGTAGAATAGTAATATTCACTGCATCCCGTTATTTATTATTTTTTCTCCATTTATTTATGTTAAGTTAAAGTAGTGAGAGGTTGAGTAGTGTGGAGTGGTGGGTAGAGTAATGAGAGGTGAAGTTGTAGTCACCAGTTACCTCACATTACCTACCTACCGCTCACCTCTCCTGTCATCTCCTACCTACCTCCGCATCATCCCTCCTACTGCCTCGCTGTCACCTACCTACTGATTCCCCCCTTTTACTCCCATAGCCCCCATTCAATCAAGCCCCCCCTACATGACAAGTGTCAGTGCTTCTCATAAGTCAGTGTCAGTGCTTCTCATAAGTCAGTGTCAGTGCTTTTCTTAAGTCAGTGTCAACACTTCTCATAATCAGTGTCAGTGCTTCTCATAACAGGTAAGCGCTTCTCATAACAGTCAGTGTCAGCACTTCTCATAAGTCAGTGTCAGCACTTCTCATAACAGTCAGTGTCAGCACTTCTCATAAGTCAGTGTCAGCGCTTCTCATAACAGTCAGTGTCAGCACTTCTCATAAGTCAGTGTCAGCACTTCTCATAACAGTCAGTGTCAGCACTTCTCATAAGTCAGTGTCAGCACTTCTCATAACAGTCAGTGTCAGCACTTCTCATAAGAGTCAGTGTCAGTGCTTCTCATAACACTCAGTAAATACAAAAAGGCACAATACCGTGACTGGAACGATACACAAATAACCCGCACATAAAAGAGAGAAGCTTACGACGACGTTTCGGTCCGACTTGGACCATTGACAAAGTCACACTCAGTGTCAGCGCTTCTCATAACAGTGTCAGTTTTTCTCATAACAGTCAGTGTCAGCATTTCTCGTAACAGTGTCAGAGCTTCTCAAAAGTCAGTGTCAGTGCTTCTCATAAGTCAGTGTCAGCATTTCTCATAACACTCAGTGTCAGCACTTCTCATAACAGTGTCAATGTTTCTCAAAACAGTCAGTGTCAGTGCTTCTCATACCAGTCAGTGTCAGCACTTCTCATAAGTCAGTGTCAGCGCTTCTCATAACAGTCAGTGTCAGTGCTTCTCATAACAGTTAGTGTAAGTGCTTCTCATAGTAGTGGCAGCGCATCTTATAGTAGTCAGTCAGCGTATGTTAAAATAGTGAGTCAGCGTATCTCATAGTAGTCAGTCAGTGCTTCCTGAGTCAGCGTCTCTTAGAGCAGTCGGTAGGCGTCTGTCACAGCAGTTGGTCAGCATCTCTCACAGTAGTCAGTCAGCATCTCTACAACAGTCAGCATCTCTCACAGCAGTGAGTCAGCATCTCTACAGCAGTTGGTCAGTATCTCTCAAAGCAATTGGTCAGTATTTCTCATAGCAGTTGGTTAGCATCTCTCACAGCAGTCAGTCAGTATCTCTCACAGCAGTTGGTCAGCATCTCCCATAGCAGTTGGTCAGAAATCTCTCACAGCAGCCCAGTCAGCGTCTCTTGCAGCAGTCAGCATCTCTCACAGCAGTCAGTCAGCATCTCCCATAGCAGTTGGTCAGCATCTCTCACAGCAATCAGTCAGCGTCTGTCACAACAATAGTCAACACCTGTCACAGCAGTCAGCAACTCTCACAGCAGTTGGTCAGCGTCTCTTACAGCAGTATCAGCGCCTCTCCGTGAAGCTGAACTTGAGTGGTTTAGCAGAGGCAAACACCAGGCGACAAATAACTTCAAGGTCTTCATACTTGTAATCAATTGTGAAGCGCTGCATTGCCTGTACACGAATAAATTATTATTTTCATTAATCAATAAATAGTTCCTGGAGATATTTCGTAGTTGAGAATGTATTTAATAATAAATTAGGAATAATTTTCCTTGGGGATTGGGAGAAGTGTAAAAGAAAAACTTAGGCGAGTAATACCTTAGGGATGGACGGAATTTAGCATTATTCATGATTAATGAATCGAATCATTACTCTTTACCTAATATTTCTCACATGCAGTCTTCGCTACCACATATGCCTTCATTCTTTACCGGCTTTCATAAAACTGAATAGTCGGTACTGTTGAATTCTGATAACTAAATATATATTTTACTTTCAGATATCTTGTAATTTAGAATAAAAACTAGCCGAGGGGTTATAAAAGTCAGAAAACAAAGAGGTAAACTAGAGGATTACTTACTCTAGCTAGAAAGGTGTACATCTCTTGCTCAGCGATGCGTCGACCGATGCACATCCTAGTGCCAGCGCCGAAGGGAAATGTGGCGTAAGGATGAATGGTGCCGAGAGACTTGTTTCCTCAACCACCGCTCGGGCAGGAACTCCTTCGCTTGAGGGAAGAGCGATTCATCCCAACCCATCATCATGCTCATTATCAAAACTGACCACTATGTAAATAATAAAACACGTTAAATGTTCTGATATTCGTCAGGTTAACAAAATCAACCTGATAACGATTAAATTCACAAGTATACTTTAAATTTTAGAAGCAGCTTGATGTTTTGGTCTGTTCTTAATTATTATCAGTTATCTGCACGTTTTATTGATTAAACGATAACCTTTCTTAAGGAAATCATTATAGTTAACTATACATAAGTGAGTAATACGAACCCCTTTAGGTATTAAGTATCCACTGATAACAAGTTCCTTATCCAAAGTTCTTCCAAAGCCCATCACTGTAGGTAGCAACCTAAAATATAATAAACTGTGTGAGTATCTCGTCAAAAGCGATTATCCTGTATAATTCATATTTGAATGATGCATAATAGATAATGCATCACATAGTAAACAAGTGATATTTGTAATATTTGTTATTACAATATTGTTGAAAATGTATTTACCGATATCGTGGGAAGTTAAAAGTAAGCAAAAAAAAAAAAAAAAAATAACTGATGAGTGTAGGTTATACCTCATAGACTCTTTAATGACAGCCTTGAGGTAGTGGAGCTTGGCCAGGTGATGGTGAGTGAGTGGACCCTGTGGTCCCCGAGCACAGTATCCACCTCCTCTTGCAGTCTAGTCTGCACCTCCGGGTTTCTAGCCAGTAGGTACATTGCAAAACCCAGAGTGTGCGAAGTCTTCATGTATTTTAGAAAGATTCACAGATATGAATGGAGGAATACATATTATACTGTAAATGTTTTCTTATCAGCAAATAATATCTAAAAGGAAACAGGTACTCACATATTTCCCCCCCAACCCCCACCCCCCAAAAAAGTGTGTTCCCCTTTAAGGATTTTTATCCAGAACAAAATATCCATAGCTAGGATGTCTTTGGGTAACTTGTCAATTACTTCATTAAGAGTTGTAAAAATAAGTGGAACATTCTAAGCGATACCTTTAACAGAGTGAAGAATCGAACAGATGGTCATCCTTCTGTTAAATAACTAACTACCACCATCCGTATTATGGCCATCTGCCAAACATCTGAAACAGCTCGAAGCATCACCTGGGCACTTACTCAGCAATAATTTTAATTTATTTTATTCAGAGTGAAGCGCTGAATCTGTATGGATCATTTAGGGCCTAGGGAATGGGGGGCATTCAGGTTTAAAGAAGGGGAGGATAAGCCCAGTTCCTTGGAGCAAGATCCCGTCACCGGACCAAGGGTACTCCACAGCAATCGTGATTTCACTGTGGGCCTTTACACTGTAGCTTGTAGGGGATACAGTCTCTATATAATTCATTTGAGAAAAAAAAGTTCACGGTATGGCTTAAAACACTGAGTTAATCCTTTAACATTTCATCTTTGAAACGCTATAGGGATTTAAATATTTCTGGTATGTTATAGATTTGCTTATTCTACGACCAGTTTTATTCTTAGTCCTTTTTTATTCTTTCATATTTTTGTTTTTATGAATTGTTAAAAGTGAGTCCAAACAGTCTTCATTCCAACCTACGAGTGATTGGGAGCCACTGGTTCCCTAATCTGGAACCACGAAGTTTTACATTTCATTTCCGTACTCCCTCTGGGAAGGAGTTAGGACGATCTGACTGGTTACCTGAACATGACAGTGAGTACCATTGTTGATCACAGGCGATTTCAGCACTTTCATATGTCCATTTTGGGCATTGGAACTTTTCCCGATAAAGAATCGAATAGAAAATACATAGTCTAAAAAACCTAGAGGCACCTGCAGTTCAAAGTTTAAGCACATATAAAACAACACTGGGGCGTTTAACATCAGCATTCCCTCTTGCGAAATTACATATCGTTGTTAAATTACTCTGACCTCACCATCCCGAATGAACCCTTCGCTGCCTTAAAAACTTTTTAAGTTTTTCATTACAAGTAGTGAGATTTGTCTGGAATGGAACGTCTCTCACGTGCCTCACTGACTGCAGGGTTGTTGTAGATGAAAATAAATTTGGATAGCTTGCTAATGAAACAAGGCCATTTTTTTTAGTTTTGTATCTATTAATACCTGCTAAAAACTATGCTAATAAACAGGGACAAGAGAATTCTGATGTGTTCGTTTTTTATCTAAGATAATATGAGATGAGAAACATACATTTACATCGGCTATATCATGGGTAATATGCAGTTGCTCCAGTATTATATACCAACATAACTGCAGATAACTTTTGCTCTGTTAAACAAAAAAAATAAATAAACTTCTAAGAAAACTGCACATAACTTGAAAAAAAAGAAGAATCAGAGAAATCATTTAAGTTATTCTCACTGTATCAATGCCAGCGAAGAGCATGTCGAGGATGAGGGTGACCACGTCCTTGCGGGAGAGTCCTGGCTTGAGGAGCAGTCCCTCCATCAGTGTCAGTTCCTGGTCATCACTAGGCTCCTTCGCCAGCAACGCCGCCTCCGTCTCTCGGATGTTTTTGTCCGCAATTCTGCACGGTTTTCAAAACATTCAGTAACGAAGTTCAGGCGATTTTTTTTTATCGATTAGAGCTCATTGTATGTACGTCTAAGATATTAACAGGCAAACATCAGGTACCATTCATCTGTTTGCAGGTCAACTTAATATCTACCCCATATCTTACAGATATAAATATCTCAAAATATCTTTCAACAAATTCACAATAGCAACTAAAACAGAAATGCAATTAAATGAGTGCAGACGTGTTACTACCGACAACTCCAATTATGATGTTAATTCATACATAATATATTACAAAAGGCTCGTAAATAAATCTCTCCTCAAACTATTGATAAACAGCTGTTATAAATAGAAGCCCACTGACAAGGCGGCGTGTATGGTCCTGTGCTCGGTGGTGTGGATGCCTCAGAGCTAATTTCATTCTACTTCCCATTTTGCGTACTTCACTCATCTCATGGTGAGTGAAAATTCCACGACGCTCTAACCCACGGGACCATACAATCCCGGATAGTCGCAGTGTTGTTATTGATATAATACCACTCGTTCGTGGTTACAATTCGATATACACTGCTTGTGGAGGCTAGTACACCAAACGGGAAGTAGAATGAAATTAGCTCTGAGGCACCCACACCACCGTATGTCCTCGGATCACGGTACAAACACATAGCACTGCTGGGTGCATGATTCTTGTAGGATTGTATGGTCTGGTGAGACCATAGACACACAAACACACACACACACACACACACACACACACACACACACACACACACACACACACACACACACACACACACACACACACACACATATAAATATATTATTATTTATTATTATTATTACACTGGCCGATTCCCACCAAGGCAGAGTGGCCCGAAAAAGAAAAACTTTCACCATCATTCACTCCATCACTATCTTGCCAGAAGGGTGCTTTACACCACAGTTTTTAAACTGCAACATTAACACCCCTCCTTCAGAGTGCAGGCACTGTAATTCCTATCTCCAGGACTCAAGTCCGGCCTGCCGGTTTCCCTGAACCCCTTCATAAATGTTACTTTGCTCACACTCCAACAGCACGTCAAGTATTAAAAAAAACCATTTGTCTCCATTCACTCCCATCAAACACGCTCACGCATGCCTGCTGGAAGTCCAAGCCCCTCGCACACAAAACCTCCTTTACCCCCTCCCTCCAACCTTTCCTAGGCCGACCCCTACCCCGCCTTCCTTCCACTACAGACTGATACACTCTTGAACTCACTCTGTTTCGCTCCATTCTCTCTATATGTCCGAACCACCTCAACAACCCTTCCTCAGCCCTCTGGACAAGAGTTTTGGTAATCCCGCACCTCCTCCTAACTTCCAAACTACGAATTCTCTGCATTATATTCACATCACACATTGCCCTCAGACATGACATCTCCACTGCCTCCAGCCTTCTCCTCGCTGCAACATTCATCACCCATGCTTCACTCCCATATAAGAGCGTTGGTAAAACTATACTCTCATACATTCCCCTCTTTGCCTCCAAGGACAAAGTTCTTTGTCTCCACAGACTCCTAAGTGCACCACTCACCCTTTTCCCCTCATCAATTCTATGATTCACCTCATCTTTCATAGACCTATCCGCTGACACGTCCACTCCCAAATATCTGAAATACATTCACCTCCTCCATACTCTCTCCCTCCAATCTGATATCCAATCTTTCATCACCTAATATTTTTGTTTATCCTCATAACCTTACTCTTTCCTGTATTCACTTTTAATTTTCTTCTTTTGCACACCCTACCAAATTCAAACCACCAATCTCTGCAACTTTTCTTCAGAATCTCCCAAGAGCACAGTGTCATCAGCAAAGAGCAACTGTGACAACTCCCACTTTATGTGTGATTCTTTATCTTTTAACTCCACGCCTCTTGCCAAGACCCTCGCATTTACTTCTCTTACAACCCCATCTATAAATATATTAAACAACCACGGTGACATCACACATCCTTGTCTAAGGCCTACTTTTACTGGGAAAATAATTTCCCTCTTTCCTACATACTCTAACTTGAGCCTCACTATCCTCGTAAAAACTCTTCACTGCTTTCAGCAACCTACCTCCTACACCATACACCTGCAACATCTGCCACATTGCCCCCCTATCCACCCTGTCATACGCCTTTTCAAATCCATAAATTTCCACAAAGACCTCTTTAGTCTTATCTAAATACTGTTCACTTAAAAGTTCACTGTAAACACCTGGTCCACACACCCCCTACCTTTCCTAAAACCTCCTTGTTTCATCTGCTATCCTATTCTCCGTCTTACTCTAATATATTTAAAAAAGTCGTGCCGAATAGGCAAACTTTCGATCTTGGCTTAAATAGCAACGCTCATCTTCCATATAGGACCACTGAAAATTTTGTGTAGCAAAATTTTCGCCAAAAAACATTTGAGCCTAACAAAAAAAATTTTTTTCACTGGGTTGGTTTAGATTAAATTATTAAACAAATCTAAATATATTTAGTTGGGGTTGGCTAAAAAAAATGCGCTTGTTAAAAAAGGTTAGGAATTTTAAGATTTTTTTTGGTAAAAATTGAAATTTTTTATTTTTAAACATCAATAAAAAATATATCTCTAAACGTAAAGGGGAAAATTTCAAAAGAAACATAATTTTAAATAGTTCTTGCTAATTACCAGTTTTACATATTCGGCACGCCATATATATATATTAATATATATATATTATATATATAAATATATATATATATATAATATATATATAAAAATATATAATATAATATTTATATATATTTTCCCCCAGCCCCTTTTCCCTTCATTTTCAGCCGGCTACAGAAAACCCCCAATTTCTTTTGTTTGGAGGGGGTGTTCAGCAGGGTGACCCCTCGCTCCACTTCCTTCTGTTTGGCAGTAAAGAACTAACTTCCCCCACGCAGTGACTCAATATCGGGTCCCGGATGACGGCACTCGGGCAGGTAAAAAAAGAGTCCCTCGTGGGGCCCTACAACTGTTGAAAACACAGGAGAAGACTTGGGACTCATCCTAAAATCCCTCCAAAGTGTGATACACACAGGGGAACCGGGAAAATAATCAATGCTGGCGAAAAATCCCCCCGAAGCTCAACTACCCTCCGTCCAACCGACCCTCTTGGGGGGACCGCTGGGGCACCAGGCCACCCATACTGCCTCAGGACAAATTGAATGACCGGGTGAGAAGGGGGAGAGAAAAAGCGTCTTGAGCCCATGATCCTGTACTCCTCCAAGGGGTCTTACATGCAAGACCACTTACTTCTTGAGGTGTGCACCCCCTTTTTACAACCCAACGCTCGATGAAAATGACCAACAACCTAATCAACTTTTTAAAAAGGCACTGAACCTTCACTAGAGGGTGAGCAATGGGATCAGGCAACCCTCCCGTGGACTGGGGGGGGGATAGGGGGGGCGTAAAGCAATGCATGTTTTTTTTAACCGCTTTTTTGTCTTCGGTTTGGGTTCCTTTGCATTTGTCAAGAAGATAGGCCCGAACGCTTGAGAGACTTTTAGGGGGCCAAGACCCCCGGGTTTTCTGAAGAGCGATTCGGTGGGACCCCTTACAGACTTTCCCCCAGAGACCACTCCCCCAAACTGCACAAACAGTCCCCCGGGACAAACCACATGGAAAAATCGCCCACAATGCTCTCCAATCTTCAGGAAAGAACAAAAGCCGTCTCCTTGGGGATGAAGGGCCCCCACACCAGGAGATTTCCGTTTCTTTTTCCCAATTCCCCCCTGGGCACCCTCTCGACCCACAGGCCCTTCGGATGGTGTTTCTCTTCGCCTAGCCCCCCCCATCCTCACCGAAAAATAGTGTTTTGCGGCAGGGGACAGCTGATCAATCGGACTTCATGGTCTCGTGTGCCACACAGCAGAAGGGAAGTAATGCCAGACATGAGGAGATCATGACATAATAAAGAGAAGCCTCGCCACAGCCCGTTGCCCAGCTCAACGGGAACCCCAAGTACAGAGGTCTGATGGAAGTCAAAAGCGCCTGATGGAGCCACTATGCTACCCTGGAAGGATGAAAGCAGATTGCCTGGGACTACACCTGTGCTGCCACATTGGCACACACCTACTTGCCATACTCTGTAGTGGAAGGGGGTGGAGCTGCCAGCCACAGGGAGACCCAGAAGATCCGAAAATATGAAGACCTTCCCCCTTGCTATAACTTCATTCCAATAGGGTCGAGACCCTTGGAGCATGGGCAAGTGTGCTCTAAAGTTCCTCAAAGAGCGGGGTGAAAAGCTCATCATAGAAACCAAGGACCACAGGCGACCAGCTTCCTCTTTCAGAGACTCAGTGTTACGATCCAGAGAGGAAATGCCTGCAGCATTCTGGGCAGGCGGCCCACCGCAGGGGAGCTGGACGAAGTATTCGAGATGTAGCTCTGAGTTACCTATGTTGTTTTACTTTCTGATGTATTTTTGTGAATGTTTGGCCAATGTATTTTGTCTTTAAATAAAACATACCTGAAATATAGGGGTGGTAGGAGAGAAAATTCTCAAACAGCTTCAGGGAGAACCTTGAGTTTTCCCTGAAGCAAGTTTATTATTTTCTCTGAGGATGAGGGTCCCTATGACAGTTCTAGAGTGGTACCTCCTAAAATTTTATATATAATATAATATAATATATATATATAAATATATATATATAATATATATATATATATATATATATATATATATATATATATATATATATATAAATATATATAAATATATATATATATAAAATATATATATATATGTCGTGCCGAATATGTAAAACTGGTCAATTAGCAAGAACTCATTTAAAATTAAGTCCTTTCTAAAATTTTCTCTTATACGTTTAAAGATATATTTTTTTCATTAATGTTGCTGTAAAAATTTATAATTTTGCACCAAAAGGAACTTAGAAAACTTACCTAACCTTATTATAACAAGAATAATTTATTTTAGCCTAACCCAACTAAATATATTTTAGATTTGTTTA